AAATCGACAGTCTCGTGATAAACGTTCTTTTATAATAAAAAACATGTATACGTTTATTCAGTACTGTCGCCATGGGCCATTGGTATACGTGTAAGGAAATAATTGTACAAGTGACGTGAAACGTGAGTTGTTTACGTTGTTTATGTCTAAATGTGTATAGCACATACGTAATATACAAGGACTCTCACTTGATTGCATAAAATGGATGATTTTTTTTTGGAAAATTACAGAACATAACAAAATTCTGTGGTTTTGGTCTAGCCGACGCACCAAGCTAAATTATTGATTGATTGATTGATTGATTGATTGATTGGTTGGTTGATTGATTGACTGACTGACTGATTGATTGACTGATTGATTGATTGACTGATTGATTGATTGATTGATTGATTGATTGATTGATTGATTGATTGATTGATTGATTGATTGATTGATTGATTGATTTGCTTATTTGTTGATTTACTGAACGGCCGAGTTAGTCTGATTAATTTTCATCTGGACTCATCACAATAAAAAATACAAGGAGACATTATTAGAAAGTTGACATAGCACACATAAAAACAAAACAAAAATGTTGTCAGGGGAATATTTTTATGAATAAATCACATAGCTTTGTTACAGTGAACCTTGCCTTGAATAAGTAACGTAAAATAGTAAGATTATCAATGCAAACGAAATACTGATTAAAACATTTGCAATATCTACACGTTTGGTATAACAAACATCATTTGGGGTAATAAGAGGAATTTTGTGACAAGATTGTCAAGTAAATGCCATCACAGTCACTCCCTAGTAGAGTGACTGTGATGAAGTCATGACGCATTACGTAAATCGTGATTAAACCGTTAAACGCTACAAACCCGGGCACTAATCCACACTTTCTCAAAATACATGCCAAAAACTCACGGGCGCTAACAGAATGAGACCGTTACGGTTGTATGAATTTTACTGTTTATAAATGCGTGTTTTTAAACGTCATTTACCAACCTTTTCATACAACGCATTCGTTACTTTTGTGTTAAAGCGCGCCGCTTACGACTGAATAATGAAATGAGTAGTCCAAGCTCTACCACAAGAGGGCGAGATGCGCACAAAATACGTCATCAAAACGTCTGCGCAGTTAAGAGTTCAGTTGTAAATAGTGTTGTGTATTATCGCAAACTCACGAAAAGCTTTGTTAACTGGCACTTTGGTAGTATTTTATCAACCACAGAGGTGTTGTGCACAAGGAGGGAAGTCCGTTTTTTCACCTGGACACACAATTCTGCGTGAAACATCTTAATCAAAACGTCATCGGCTCGAAACAGTCTATTTCCGAAGATCAAAGATGTCTGAAAGAAAAGTGTTAAACGTGAGTTATCTGTAATCTGGTGTATTTGTAGCTACTATGTGATTCATCATTTTGTGGCTCCAATTCCTTATTAAATTTATCATAGACACATCAACAAATTTTACCCAATTGATCTTAGTTACGGTCAGACTTTTAATAAACTATAAAGTGTTTACTCACTGTGTTGTTTGTCGTGGAGTCGTCTGAAAAAGGTGGGTTGAGATATCTAGGGGTATCTAGATGTTCAGTACCCATCAATCCAATACTGTCTATAGATCTTTGGAATCTATTGCTTCAGGCACAAATGTGACCATTGCATCTATGGAGTTCAGTCTGAGTGGGTCACTGACCAATAAAAAGATGTATTATGATATTTGGACTTACAATCACTTAACACTCCATTGGGAAAAAGTCCTCAAGTCACTATTCTGTCATAAATATTTGGGATACCAAATACAATTGTACAAGTGATGCAGTAAATCACTTAGCCAATTATACTTTTCTTCAGACATTTTTGATTGGTCATAGTGACGTAATGAGGTACCCAGATACTACTATCATAACCAGTCTATCATAAGTTCCTTGTGTCCAGATTGCAATTCCCCAGTTAACTATTGTCCATTTGTAGGTTATAGTTTTGACATTGTGACAGTATTCTGCATTCTTCTCATATATACAACTTGATATGAATATCAAAACCTTCACTATAATTTCTTTTTTTATTTTTTACAGAAATACTATCCGCCTGACTTTGATCCATCTAAAATCCCTAAATTAAAACTTGCCCGTGATAGGCAGTATACAGTAAGATTGATGGCACCGTTCAATATGAGGTAAATAATTGTTTACATACATGTATTTTCTCTTCTCCAATAACTACACTGTATACAGAGACATTGCCTTGTTCCCTACATGTCTACAGATATTTTTTGTATTATTATTTTAAGGCAATTTGATCATCAAAGTACCCTCTCAGCTGTGAAGTTTAAGCCCTGTGTATATTTTCTGGTCATTTACTAACACGCTGCTGACATTAAAGACACGATAAAAGTTGATATCGGTCTTCAGCCCACATTGCATACACTGGAATAAAAATAATAACAATGCATTGGTTATTATTCATTTACATGACTTTGTGTGACAAAATATAATGCGTGTTTGATCAATTTACTGTACACATGATTAGTTCTTTACATATTTGACACATCCTTGCAGGCGCTAATGTACGATAACCCAAGTCCTGACAATAATCAGACTAGAGTTGCATTATACTCGACTCAGACAGATGTGGAAAATGAATTATTTGTACTTCATCTTTTAAAAATTTATTTTCGGTTGAATGCCAATGAAACACTGTGGGAACTTATTAGCTTATTTTGTCTCTGCCATAAGCCACAGTGTCATCAATAATTAACATTCCTATGTCTTGGTTGATAAAGCTACTATAGTCATAGTGTCTCTTCATGCAAGTGACATTCATCATGGAACTAAATTCTCTAGTTGCCTGTTTTGGTACAGATGATAATTTTTGTGTTAAAAATTTTTCTGGGAAGTCTTGCCCAAAATGTTCAGTGCAAGTAACCACTATGCTGTCAGTGGCAATGGATATGAACAGTAGACACACTTATTAATATGTGTTGAATCTTGACAATGACCTGAGCAACATTCTAAATGAATATGCTCGAAATATTAAAATAGTGAACTTTAAGACTCTGAATTCAAATTTTGTACTACTGCACATGTTACTGCACAATATAAACACAATGCATTATGGGAGATAACCTCCTATTGTAAATCGCCCTAGAAACTTGCTTAATGATATGTCAATTTTTTTAAATGTTTCTACATTATTAGGATTCATGTGAATCATAATATGACTATCTCATCCCATGTCACCAACTGAAAAAATAATCTCACCATAGAAAACAATATTAACCGTGTTAAAATGCTAGTTTTGACCATTTTTTTAACATTATGATTGTATCTTGCAAAAATTGTCTGGTGACCCTTATTTCTTTATTTCATTTTCAGTATCCTGGTGGAATGAACCCATAAAAATAGTAGTTTTAAATTCAACTCAAACCTCCTGAAATACCAGCAAAAATAATTTGTTTTACAGTACAAGGTTACTATTGTTTAACTATGTTTATATTCTAGATGTTTATTCTGTACTGAGTATATTTATAAAGGCAAGAAATTCAATGCAAGAAAAGAAACCGTACAAGGAGAATCATATCTGGGATTGGCGATCTTCCGCTTTTATATCAAATGTCCACGATGTGTGGCTGAGATTTCATTTAAGGTGAGAGTAATTTGCAGTGTTTGAAATTATATTTGTTTCTATGTGTTTGCTATTGGTAATGATCCTGACAAATTATGTTTATTGTTACACAAGTTTAACTTAGGTATTACTGAACCAAGTTAAAGAATTACGATGGTTACTACGTGTGTATGAGTTCTATACTAACAATATACCGATAGTCATATGTGTTGTTTCGCACAAAATTCAAGTGCATGTTGTCAGGATGACCACTGCCTTTCAATACTTGTTAGAAGCTTTAAAATTTGAATGCTATTAAAAAACAAATTTACATATACTGTAGAATACTTTATTTTCGCTTGGAATTAATTTTCGCTATTTTCGCTGAAGGGATGATTCCGTGAAAATAAAATCAAGCGAATATACTTTTTTTACTATATTTCACATTAAACTCATCAAAAATCAGTGAAAATAAATTCCAAGCAAAACGCCTAAAAAGCCTTTTCAGCGAAAATTAAATCCAGCGAAAATAAAGTATTCCACAGTAGTTGCAAGTTTGTCTGTCAACTGAAGACAAAACAGTAAATTGGATATTAAAGACATACTTATAAATTAAAGGGCCCACAGAGTTTGATAAAAATATAAGTTAAAGCGTATTTACTGTAATGGTAATCACATCATTATTGTTGTTCTCCATTTCCAGTGCCCTCTGATGTCAAGTATGTCACTCACTGATCTGAAAAGAATCCAAATGTTGGTTTAGAAATTTAAATGGTATTATCTCTGTACACAAGACTCCCTAACTTACTATTATATAGTGCAGATGTTCTAACTGTTTATTGTCTATTGCACAGACTGACCCTGAAAACACAGATTATGCTCTGGAAGCGGGCGCTACTCGTAACTTCCAAGCTGAGAAGCTCATCATTGAGGAGGAGGAGAGGCTGAAACGAGAGAGGGAGGAAGAAGAAATGAACAACCCAATGAAGGTTCTGGAGAACCGAACAAGAGATTCCAAGCGTGAAATGGAGGTGTTGGAGAATCTGGAAGAGCTGAGAGATCTGAATATGAGACATGCTAGCGTTGACCACGCAGCAATATTGGAAGACAAGGGTAAAAGGTGGATGCAACAACAGCAAGAAATTATTAGGAAAATGGAAGAAGACGAGGAAGCAGAAATTCAGTAAGGAAATACCGTAAACAGCTTATTGATAATAAGAGATAATTTGTTATGAGTCATGGACAGTTGATAGCTGTGGGAGTATTTCTGGTATTTTGTTCTCAAGCAATAATTTCAACCTTCTATATTTAGTGAAACATGTTCAGATTCAGATGAATGTCAAAATATATAGATTTTTTTAAGCAATATAAAATAATTATATTTGCATATTGTTAGCATACTGTTATATATTTCTTACATACATGTATTCATTCATGTTCAATTGGTCCAAATTAAAACAGGACAGACATAATGTATTACTGGTATTATAATATGTTTGGCTGGTGCTAATGGACATGTCATTCCATTTAAATATCTAGTGTGCATTATTACATGCAATAGCATTTGTTTCCACTCCATTCTAACACACATGCAGTCACTACAATAAAGGCCATACTTTCTGTGCTCTCATAGTACAATATGTATTAATATTTTTTTCACTATGTTCTTTTCAGAGCCATATTTGGAAGAAATGATACCGATAACATCAAAAGACTGATAGATGATGACCAAGATGATAATGATGATGAAATAGTCAAACCAGTGAACAGTAACAATAAAAGACCAACGGATGTACTAACTGGGGTTAGTATCTTTGTGCTTTGAATAACTCATTGAGTCCTTATAGCAATCAACGTTTCCAGAAACTACAGTGTTGAAAATCACTTGTATTTACTACAGCGTCATCTGTCTTTACAGTTATGTGAGATGCAAATGTTTTGTTGCTCTTTGAGTCATGCACGTCCAGCAAATAAACACTGATTATTGTAACAGACTATTTAGGAATCATACACATCACCAACTTAGTTGAAGCTTCAGAATATTTTATTGTAATAGTAAAGGTTTTATGTTTGATGCTTTCTCTAATCAAATACTATAATTTCTATATATTTTCAGGGAACAGACAGTAGCAGTTTTTGTGCAACACAACCAAAGAAACTGAAAACATGGGAGAGAAGTATTGGAGGACTTTCTAAGAAATCAGCGTTGGCATCACTTGTAAAAGTCAGGACTAGCAAAACAAACACTGTAACAACAAACAAAGACAATAAAAAGGAAAACTCTGTTATTAATAAAGATGATAAAGTTGCAATGGAGGATAAAACTGATGGTATTCCATCATCCATGAATAATCAGAGCAAGACTGAACTGAAGCCAACAATTAATTCATTGAGTCTACTTGGAAACTACACTGACAGCGACACAGCAAGTGATAGTAACTGAATACCTGAATTCATTGTTATTAAGGTGAACTGAAAATGTGGATGTTTTATGCAGTACTTCATTTCCATGGTTTCTTGTGCATTATTACATGTATAGGAATTTATCCATCCACAGATGTGTATCTCTGATGGTTGACTCACACAATGATGTAAAGTGACAATCTAAACTGAAAATCTTGTATTGACTGTCATTCCTGATAGAGGCATACTTACAATGTACCCAATACTGCCCGTTAGCTACATTGATATTTTTAATTTAACATGAGATCTTTTTAACATGGGAAACAGTCACAAATGTAAAAAAAAAATCACCATTATTCTGGATGTTTGAAGCATTTGTTGTGTGAAAAGTAGTTCCATGGTCATATTGTTCATCTAAATTTGGTGAACAATATAAAATAAAACCACATTATAAAAGTCAAGAGAATTCGATTTGTTTTATTGATATTCAGCTACTAGTATATATGTACCATTCAATGAGAGAGAACTCTTATACTAGGCAGATCTTTTTTTTTATATCAAGAATATAGATCACATGAAAACTGTGTATCCGAAACATAACAAGAAAGTGTTACCGTAGTGACAAATAAATATGAAAATGCTTACCAGATTAAACCATATTATTTTTAACAATATGTAGGTCAGAGGAGTTTTTCTAAAAAGCAATTTGGTTTAATCAGTAAGCATCCAAATTCCACTATTTTTTGATTGTCTATTTCATTAGTTTTTGATAAATTTTCTACTTACCCCATTCATCAGTGAAGTAAAAATAGTCCTGCATGTGTAAGTATGAGCCACTGATATTTCTCTTGTCTATCATCTACCTAGCTCACATTGTAGAGGGCCACTGATATTTCTCTTGTCTATCATCTACCTAGCTCACATTGTAGAGGGCCACTGATATTTCTCTTGTCTATCATCTACCTAGCTCACATTGTAGAGGGCCACTGATATTTCTCTTGTCTATCATCTACCTAGCTCACATTGTAGAGGGCCACTCAGTTTGGCTGATCAGAAGAAACATGGTTTTAGCCATGCCACTAGAAACAAATATTTGTTTTAAAAGTAAGGAGAGGCGATGCCCCTGACCCATTTCCCATAGCAGGAGGGTAATGAAACTTGGCACAGTTATTAGTCTTTCTCTACATAGGAACCACCCACAGTTATGCATTTCTCCCATCTTTTGATGCAGCTCTGGCACAATTTTTGTAGAACACCCCAGGTTGGTCCTCCAACCATGTCGTAATTTCAGAAATCAAGGCTGCATCATCTGGGAAATGCTTTCCTTTAAAAAACAACTTCATGGCTGGGAAGAGATGAAAGTCAGAGGAGGCAAGGTCAGGAGAGTAAGGGGGATGTGGGAGGATTTCATAGCCACACGCCTGTGCTTCAGATTTGGTGACATGTGAGTTGTGTATCGGAGCTTTGTCCTGCAGGAGGAGGATACCTTTGCTGATCTTACCCCGCCCCTTGATTTTGATAGCTTCTATTAATTTCATCAAAAGTGAAGCGTAATAGGCTCCTGTAATTGTGGTACCCTTTGCCAGGAAATCTGTCATCACTACTCTGTCCTGGTCCCAGAAGACTATGAGCATGACCTTGCCTTCTTTGGAGGTGGTGAGTCCAAGTGCTTCCACTGCATTGACTGGGGGGCTGTCTCTGGATCATAGTGATGGATCCAAGTTTTATCCTGTGTAAACAGTCTTTTGAAAAACTTTGATTCATCTTCTTGGCATATCTCCAAATTCATCCTCGAGCACTCAACGCGTTCTTGTGTCTGGAAAGGTGTGAGCAACCTGGGAATCCATCTGGCAGACGCCTTATGCATATGCAAATGGTCATGAATGATAGTTTCCACAGACCCTGTAATGATCGTGACCTCTTAGGCTATTTGGCGTCGATTTTCCATAATCGCTGCTTCAACTTGTTAGACAGATGCCTCATCAATGGCAGAAGAGGGACGACCAGGTCTGGGAGCTGTTTCCACAGATTTCCGGCCATGTTTGGTTTCACGATGCCAGCGTTTTACAAGGTCATATGATGGGGCATCATCATCCATAAGTTTCTTGCATTTTATCAAAAGTCTCCTTTGGTGTGCGTCCTTTCAAATACAAAAAACGAATCACTGCA